TGGGGGGGCTGCAAGGACACTTGAGGAATACAAATTGTATTTACATCACTCAATACAGTTTCACTGCTCCCCACATTATAACGTGGGGTGTCCCCGCCTACACGCCAGTGTGATGGGTTGCCTAGGCGCTGGTTCGCAGGCGCTGTGACCACCCCCACCCCTGCGGACCCGCGGCTACCCCACAGCCAACCACGAGGGTAGCCGAGCCGGGATCACAGGGACGTCAGGATGCCGACCGTGGTCCATCCTGCACCCACCCCTCCCGACCTGGACACAGACCTATTCGAACCCCGAGTACCGGTAGTAGATATAGATTTGTTGGGTCTAATCTTGTGTGAATGACCATCGTGTTCAATACTCCTATTGGCATTCCCCATTCTACAATTTGGTAGCTGTCAGGAATTCTAGGGGGATGCACTTTTAAGAGTAATTACTACTGCAATACTTTAAAGTAATTGTTTTTATTTCTATGGAAATGTTCAAAAGCTGATAGGTTCACTAAACTGTGGCACACAGATCCACAGAAGACAATAGATTAAGGCTGACAGTATATATATTTATCAGGTACACAATAACATGTGTAATACACAAGAAAAGGATTCACCTAATTTTAAAAAGGGTAAAAAAAATTGCACATTGCTCATTGATAGCTGAATGGAATTACTGAATTACTTTGAAACATTCTGAACACCAATAAAACAATTGCATGTATTGTAGCGTAAATTTTACCGTTTCACTGATTAAATGATATATGATACAAGTATGGACAGATGATTTTAAATAGCAGGAAATGGTGTCAAGTTCAGTCAAGTGAGGATAGAAACAGATAGACTTCATAAACCCCACATAAAATTACTAGCACAACACAAACATGCAAAACCCAACCACAAGTTCAGTCAAGTTAGAGAGGTAAGACTTCCTAGACCCCACATAAAGTTACAAACACAACAATCATGCAAAGCCCAACCAATAGCAATACAATTACCAACACCACATAAACATACTCTATGATGCAAGACAAAGAAGGCAGGAAGAAGAAGTCGCATCGTCAAGAGATAGTCCATAGTCACTATGCGTGAACAGAGATGAATGAATGAGACTAAAATTGTGATTAAACAATTCTTCTTCTTCTTGACGTTTATGTTAGATGGCTTCTATCTGGTTATACAGCAATGTTGAAATGCCATCTGGAACAAAAATACCAAATTTATGAGTTTGAGAAAGAAAAACAAATGTTTTCATTGGTATTTCTATATCCAACAAAATTTTGCATAGCTGGGCCAAAATGAACATTGCTAGGTATAAGGGCAAAATAAGAGGATAGTCTCCAATTTGGACTATCACAAACAGTTACTGGTCGGAACAACTTTTTTGAGAAAAGCGTACCAATTTGAGCAAAGGGTATTCAAAATTGATCACAAAAAAATGAAACTTCAGCGATAGTCAATGCAAAGAAGAATGTTCGAGACCTCTTAGGAACACCCAGAACACAGAATTGTCACCAAATTGTCACAACTCTCTGCTGCCAGGGCAATGAAATGTATTGAATGAAACAAGCTGATTCATTTAAATTAAAACTAGAGGTAAATGAATTGGGGTTAGAAATGGTTCAACTGTTGCTGAGCCAAGATGAACAAACTCACCTTCCATCTGCACGACGTGGTCCTGCTTCCTTTTCCACTCCTTCCTCATGACAGTTGCACGAGTGGTCCTTCCTTTCACCGGATGAGAGTGAATCCAGCAACGTTCATTGCAGGGTAAAATGTTGTTTCTGGGCGAGCGGGTACCGGAAGGTCCTGAAGGCAATGAAATGTGCTGATTAAGCAAGCTGATTCAATTAAATTAAAACTGGAGGTAAAATGAATTGGGGTGAAAAATGGTTCCACTGTTGCTATGCCAAGATAAACAAACTCACCTTCCAACTGGTGGTCCTTTCTCCGGATGAGAGTGAGACAGCAGAGTATTCATTGCAGGGTAAAATGTTGGGTGTCTGGACAAGCGGAGGTCCTGGAGGCAATGAAACGTGCTGAATAAAACAAGCTGATTTAATACAATTAAAGCTAGTTAGTATGAGTTGGAGTGAAAAATAGTTTTGCATCTGTTATGCCAAGATTATGAAACTCACCTTCTAGCTGCCGGTTGTGGTCCCTCCTTCAGTCCTTCTCTTCCTCTTGACAGTCACCTGCACACGGGCTGCACGCCTGTGGGGGGACAAGCAAACTTACTCCATAAACCGCTCAAACAATTCTCATTACAACTGTTATCAAAATACTTCGCCCGTAACAGCAAAACATTTTGAAGAAAATCAATCGCTTGCATGCTAGTTCAAAGCCGTCTCAGTCACTGCAAAATGCATGCCAAGATAAGATTCTTGTAGCGGATTATTCTCTACAGCTTGAAAAGAATTTTGAATAATTGTAATACAAACCAGTTCAAACAATTTCTTTGCAGTACCTATTCTTTGCAACGTTGCAAAGAATATGGTTTGCAAGTATTTTACAGTGAGCCTGGGGGGAAACGTACTGGTTGTCCTTCCTTTCTCCGCATGACAGTGAAGACAGCATATCCTGGAGGTCCTGGAGTTCTGGGGATCCTGGCTGGGGGTCCTGGAGTTCTGGGGGTCCTGGAGTTCTGGGGGTCCTGGAGTTCTGGGGGTCCTGGAGTTCTGGGGGTCCTGGAGTTCTGGGGGTCCTGGAGTCCTCGCAGTATACGGGGACTGCCTGCTGGCCAGGGGTGGAACTGGGACGGTCCTGGAACTGGAAAAGAGATTGGAGAAACGAACATCTCGTTCCGCAGCAAACCAAATTAACTTCTCCCGAAACAGTGGATCGCGGCGAGGCTGTGCGGCGCCCGCGGACATCCCGGCCAGGCCAACCGGGGCGGAGCACAGTTGCAGCGAACATTGCACCGACCAGACGCGCCTCCGACGGATATTCTGCAACAGGAAGAAAACTACATTAAATGGTTCCAAAGTAACAGTCAAGCCAAAAGAAAGCTGGCGTCAAGGGAGCAGGTCAGGGGAATACTCAATCCCAAAGCACAACTTACCTTCTTTAAGGCGGCAATGAGTTTGTCCCCGCGGAGTGCCAGCCGTAGTAGGGCGGGGACCAGGACGCGACGGGGTCGGCGAGCGAGGGCTGGGGCGGTGGTGCTGTAGGACCTAGAGGTGCTGGAGGTCCTCGCCGACCGCGGAGACCAGGGCGGGGGGCGGAGCCGGCAGTGGACGCTGAACAGACGTGGCGCACCTCCCACGAAGACTCTGTAACATAATTATTTCAAATTAATATCCAACCCGAAAGGAATCAACTAAAAGCCCACAAGATGAAAGGCCAGCCTCCATACCTGTTTGTAGGCGCCCAAGAAGATGCGCGCGAAGCCGTGGTGACGCTGTGTCCCAGGGGCGCGTCCGAGTCGACCAGCTTGGTGCAGCAACAGGACGGCCGAGGTATCGACGGCCCGGCCGGGGCAGCGGCGGCATGGAAGAAGAACAGAACAAGTTATTAGTTCGGTGCCTACGTTCGGTTGGAGTACGCCATCACTTTGCCCTCGTGGTCCTCCGGTCACTAAGAATCAAACACGCCCGCCAGCCGCGGCCGGCACTGCCCCGAGCGCTGCCACTCGCCGGCCCCGCGGGGGGGAGGGGGCCTACGGGGGAGACCCGCGGGTCCAGCGAGGGCAGGCCCAGCGCGGCGCGCCAACCAACGGCCGAGGGGCGGCGCCAGGGAACGACCGGGGCCACTGCAAGCGGGCCAAATGTGTAACAAGTAAAGCTTGAGAGACGTACCTGTGGTCTGCGGACCACGCCACTAGAAAGTTGACCTGTCCGCAGGGGGGCTGAGTCGCGGCGGCAGGGTCCTGCAACAGAGAAGCTGGCGTCAAGGGAGCGTGTCACGGGGCTACTTGATTCCAAAGCACGACTTACCTTCTTCTTGGCGGCAACGACGAGCGAGGGGGAGGGGGCTGCATGAAAAACTCGTTAGCACATAAATACAAAAACTAGAGATACAGAGATACACCGAAATACAGAGATACGTTACAAATACAATAAATACAAGCGCAAGATACATAAAAGTACAGTTGGCTTCCGGTTCGGCGACGGTGAGGGTGAGCAGAGGCAGGGCGGCGTCGAGTGGGGCGGAGAGGAGTGACGAACTGGTGAGCATAGGGTGACGAGCAGGGTGACGAGCAGGGTGACGAGCAGGGTGACGAGCAGGGTGACGAGCAGGGTGACGAGCAGGGTGACGAGCAGGGAGGGTGACGAGCAGGGTGACGAGCAGGGTGACGAGCAGGGTGACGAGCAGGGTGACGAGCAGGGTGACGAGCAGGGTGACGAGCAGGGCGCGAAAGAGCTTCTTGTCCTTACTGGCGGACCGCTCGATAGCCTGCCGACAACAACTACGATCAGGGAGGGAACAGACAAGCCAAAGCCAAACGGTAACAGTAAAATGGGACCGATTTGTTCACTGACCTGACATTGGATCTTCAATCATTTGATCTCTTCCAGATTTAAAAGGGAAGACGTCAAACAGAACGTTATCAACGGCAATCTTGATGACTTGGTGCCCCCCATACCCTTGTCTGCGCGCCTTTAGCAGGCCCCTTCTTGAACGCTACGACTAGTGCCGGATTTCCTATCGTGATGTAGTGTGTTTCAAGGTGTCCGTTATGAATGAAGTAGAGAATGCCATTTGGTATGGGTAACCCCGCCGAACACGGCGAATCCCAGCCAGAAATGCAAACTCGAAACGACGTCAAATCGACATCGAAGTCAAAACTTCGACGATTTAAGTGACACAAACCCATCGAATCGACGCCGATATCGCGTCGATTTCTGGCTGGTGATGAGCGCAAGAGGAAGAAGCGTCCAATATAACGCTATGGAGCCAAAAGTTATTCCTATCTGAGCAGATCTGTAAGAAACAGTCAACGTCGGCATCCTACCATGAGTCGACAGCCAGCACCGGTCCAGAGCACAGCAGCAGCGAAGGTGAGTCCAGCGGAGGCGAGCTTGAGAGCACTTTAACACTACACTTCACTATAAGGCCCGTATGCACGCACTGCATTTGACACAAATTGCTGCACTTTCACTTATTTGGCCACGATGCACTTGATTCTTCGTCGAATGGGCCAGGCCCGGCGGGCCCGGCGGGGGAGGGGGGGCGGCTCCGTGC